CAATCATCGGTGAACGAAACTGTGGCAGCTACAACCAGTGTACGACGAGTACGCGGTTCTTACAGCTGACAATGATGATGATGGTGATGATGAAATTATGTTCGGGACCGACGGAGGCACTTCTCCAAGATTCAAGGAGTGCCATTGTTCTGTCTTTTATCCGATGCTTGAGAGGATCTGGTAGCGCCGTGCCATGGGCAAAACTCTGGGCATTGCAAAGATGTGAAGACCTCGTCCCAGCACGAATTCACATCCGACAGTGGAGAAATTAGAAGAGTCCAGAAGACGATTCTGACGTATTCGTCTAACTTCGGGATGCGACGCGGCCCTGGAAAGGAAGAAAGAAGTTACTTTCGACGGGCACGGGGTCGGAATCCGCAAACGAGCGACATTCAGTTATTGATCCACGATATCAATAGGTGATGGCGATTTGATCAGTTTTGATCAGTGTGGCTAGCATATTGTTGGAGGACACCATGTGGTCAGATGACTCCGGTTGTTTCCATAGTTACTACTACACAAAAACTGTATGCGGTCAGTACATAGCTGATGCACTCGTTCGCCATTGTCCATACGTACCGAGTCGAATCCATTTCGGTTACCTAGTACAGTTTAAGATGCGCTAAGCCTGCCAACTTGTGCATTCAAGCCTGCGACAAACACAACGTTAGCTGAGGCTTTAGCGTGCTATAGCAGAGCACTCAAGGACTCATAGAACTTGTCTTTGATGGCGTTAGAGCTACAGCCGCTTTCGGGCACGACATAGACAGCGATCAACTCCTTTATCGATGTAGTCAGACGAGCCGCACAGAGGCAACTAACAACAGGTACCCAGTCAAACAATGATACTTACTCCCGGTGACTTATGAAGGTACCAACCCTGGATGTCCTACCACAGCCTGCCAATCTACCTCAATGGCGTCTTCGCTGTCAGTTCTTATCCATATCAAGGACAAAGTTAGGGTGCGAGCTTACAGACTGCTATGTTCGTCTTCCCAACCCAATCTCGGCATCTTGACTTCTATCTAGGTTTGAGCAACCTGGCAGTGTTCCAGGTGACGTGGCACCTAGGCTCCGAAAGGGCGTTACAGCTGAACGATTATTGTTATTATTGTCGTAATAATTATTGTTCAGATTGTCCGATCCATCAGCACCTCATTGTTCAACACTCGTGCTTCACTACCATGCAAACAGTTTATTCAAGGACCTTATTTTAAAGAAACGTATAAAAGTGGATTGAGAACGGACCTAATTCTAGTGTTTCACAGGCATCCTAAGGCGCCCATACCCTCAAAGACTCAGACACGTAATGGAAACTGACAACAAGAAAGCCACTGACATCGATCAGCAGCTTCTCCAATCTTGTACAGGGTGATCAGGCAGGTTCCACCCCGAGTTTCGCCAACAATGTCCAGGGTTTTCGTAACCGGTCTCACACCCCTGTACCAGATCAAATGTTCGTCACCTGTCCCCCTGCGCTACTCTGAATTAGGCACGGAAAACACTGTTTCTGGCGAACGATGATAGGGTGCGCGCAATACGTGGCCTTAACTTTTGGTGCTTGATAGTCTGATGGAAAGTGTGGATGTGTAGGTTCCTTACAGTGTTAGCATTAAGATGACACCAGACCATTTCCTCTTTCTCACTTTACTCCTTTCGAACCTCGCTGCTTTCCTTGATATTAACTAACTATGATTATTTCCTAACGAGGCACCCATTTTCGGTACCCTTGCTGCACTTCATGTTGACGCCTCACGGGATCAGCTTAAAGGGTCCCCCAGAGGTGGAAACTGCACGGGCGGCTACTGAAACCGACTGAGAGGTGCTCCAATAATCGTCTTTCAATATGCATGTACAACCTGTTTTTCCTTATTCTTACAGCCGTGATGCAACAATACAGCATGATCTGTACCCGGTTAATTAGATTGACTACTTCCAATTCACTGGCGTCGAACTTACTGGGCGCAGTGGCGATCGTTCCTTGCCGATGGAGCCGACAGCGCCAGATGCCTCCGGAGTTCCACAAGCGATACCTCCCTAAAATTGATTCCGAAAAGTTGGATACATATCGTGATCAGCACTTACCATCAACCCGTTTAGTCCAGCTTACTCCAGCTTTGATCAAACCCGATCTGGAACTTTCGTGAGTCATATGCTGTGGTCGATTTACGTGTATTTTATCTGATTCATAACGTCTGTGGGACTGGTGTTATGAACCTGTTATGGGGAAACTGTCGTACACCTGTCTATTGGTTCCAGCCATCGGAAAAAAGTGGTTAAACACGCTTGTCGAGTTGAGGGCATGTGTAGGAAGGACTGTTAAACTTGGGGCTTTTTATGTTACTTTTTTATCGTTGATGTGTTGCTGTGATTGAAGTCGCCCAAATCACACAGTTGCTTTGGTCACGTGATGCATGTCCTTATTATAAAGCGGTACCGAATTTGTGCGTGGACAAACCAACGTTCAATCGTACTGAACCGTATTCAAGAAGCACATGAGGCCTTCGGGCGTGTCAAAGCGTGGATGCCAGATCAGTAGCTCATCCTCAAACTGCCCAGGGTCAGGAAGATATTCGCTGTCGCAACGGATGCTAGTGACCGGAGCGTCGGTTCAGTCCTGAATCAGAAGGATGTGGTCGTTGAATATGTCAGGCGTATCCTGACTGACACTGAGAAAAGGCCATAGTTGCAAGGACACAGGTTTTACGTCGAAACCTACCGCTAACCTCTTGGATGGATCGAGACCATAAAAATCATCGCGGAAAGCTGGCGCGCTGGGGTCTTATGATCCGGCACGTATTGGAGGATGAGGACCGTCAGGTCGATAGCCTTTCAAGACAAAGGGATGGAAGTAAAACCCCGAAGGTCATGACCCGTGCCAATATTCTTCTCGTTGAACTGGATCCCGGAATGTTGGTGCAACTACAGCGGTGGGATCCCACATTACGGAAGGTTGCAGCCGCCTTGCTGGACGCGAGAGGTATTGAGGATGTGGAGACAAACAGAACTGGAGATATTCCAGGAGCGATTCCATAGACTGAGCGTAAATGCGGTTTGCATACTATCCTGGAAGGTTAACGATTCGTATATTGTGCTGCATGTGATACTTTTTGACTTGAGACGATAGCTGATCGTCAAATGCCACGAAATGACACATACAGGATGCTCCATAACGTACGACTCCCTTCGGCAAAGGGTTTACCGGCCAAGGATAAGAAGCGATGTAATGGTGTGGCGTGTAAAAGATGCCAACTGATGAAAAGGGATTCAACAGCAGCAGCGCATCCCATTGGACCTATCCCTTTACCAGAGATCGGGGAATTATTGTCCTTTGAGGCATGAAGCCCTTTGCCTTACAACTAGCCGCAACCAATACGTTGTGGTAGTGAGAGAACACCTGTCGTGGCGAGTCGAGGCGGCAACCATGCCAAATCAACGGGTAACTGCGATTATAGGAGTGGTCATGCATCACATTGTGGCAGGCCATTTGGTACGGAAAATAATCTTAACAGATCATACTCCCTACCTTGAAAGTGAAGAATTCAGAGGTTGCTTGCAGTGGCTTGGTATCGAACGGCTAAGGACGGCGCCCTATTATCCGTAGACAAATGGCCTGACGGAACGTAACAATCCGACGGTCAAGTAATGGCTGGTGGTCAGAGGTCATAATCTGGAGGTGAACTCTTGAACAGGAGGTGCATGATGTTGTATACTGCTGATGAAGCCTGCGAATAGCGTCTGGTTAAGTGTCAAAGCGCTGTCCTGCATCATCGTCATCATCATCGACAGCATGACGTCAGTCTTCAGCAATGATGCTTCGCTGCCGTACAACCATGATTTATTTGAAAGACTTATTTTGAATAGAAGAATAAAAGGAGATGGGGAAGAAACTTAGTGCTTACACTTCCAGACACTCAATCAGGCAAACTGATAGATGGTTGATACGGAAATTATTGAACCGCTTTGCATTGTTTGTTCGTCATCGTTCGATATTCAAAGAAAATCAAGGATAGTTCAAGTAGACGCCTGAATATGTTCACTTTTCAAAAACTATGCAAATGCGGTTTTTGCGTTCGTGTGTAATAGCTTGTAACAGCGCGTTGGTCAATAAATATCTCTGCACTCGAGAGCGCTTCTCCTTTCACTGATAGCTCGGTTGCTTTTACCGGTGATTGATCAGATGACCGACCGTTGATCTGTTCGGCGAACTTGGCAACGAGCTTGTAAATATCTTATCCTCATTAACGGTGTCTCCACGACTGGGGCGAAACGTCGGCAAGTTGATTACCAAGCTCGGTGAACAAACTAAAGGCCACCAAATTTCAAGGTTGCTATCTCCGAATGACTTGCCTGTCAAACTGCTATTGGTCAAACTGCCCGTAAGATGATCTCCCGTTACTAAGAATTTGTTTTTAACTTGCCGGCTTCTGCTCGCCTCCTAGATTGTGGTGACGCTAGCCCACAGACCCTGGACCTATTCTTCATCAACAACCAACTGCGATCACTATTTTTCCACCCCACGAACATCAGTAGACCGCAGCTGCATCACATTCTATCTCATTTTTCCGCCATCTCATCCGCCTTTCTGAGCTACTGTTCTATCAACTGAGAAAGTAGCCCTTCGGTTAACCTATACACTTGTTGAAAATTCACGACGGTTCCGCAAAATATATACGCCAAATTTAAGTTTTGCACTTCGTCCTCTTTTATTTCTGAGAGTAATGTGTTTTTAATCCTTTATTCTACAGAAAACTGATTTTTTCACTAATTGATTTGCCCAGTACTGCAAAGTTTTATCCTTCGTATGTCTACCTGTTTATTCAGCAAGGCAGTTTAAACTATTCGCCGTTTCCTCAGTTTCTGTTGTCATTCGATATTTGGGCTACTGATATTACTATCACTCGTTCTGCTCTAGTAAACTAAACGCGAATGGTTCACGGCTGACATGGTGTAAACTAACCCATTTTCTCAGCTTCTAAGTGTGAGTAAACCCGAAACTCTGACATCTGTCATCCCGTTTCTGTCGGTCTGTCTTTTACCGAAATTCTAGAGTTTTTTGTGCATTCTGCCGAGGGATACTCCACTGGGTGATTACCTATACAGTTTCAAGTTTAACGACTCCACGCGGGATCCTTTGACGTGTCTCCTAGCATCCACATTACGTCGAGTAAATTTTACAAAATGAAACTGATATACTGATATATACTTTGGAGGCCTTTTATAGGATGTGGTATGCTTGCCTGTGTTACCTCTCAGTGTTATGGACTGCATTCGATACTGATGTGTGACAAATGTGAATAATTGACAAATTTGTTCGCGCCTCAGTGGGGATGTCGCCACCTCCTACACCGTCTATGCAAAGGCTCCTCAAAGCGCTTTCAAGGAACTTTTCTTGTTTCCTCCAGCATCCGTGCATCTGCTGTTAACCCTAACTTGTCTAGGTTGATGTCGGCGAATCCGTAACGGGGCAATTAGAAATTTTGTGGTTTTGTAAAAGGAACTTCCATTGAAGAATGTGTCCAGCATCAGAAGCTGCATTTGTTTGGCCATGCATGCCGTATGCTGAATCATAGTTTGCCGAATAGCGCTACTTCCCCTGCCCTATTCAGGGTGGCAGAAACGGCGAGGTGGCCAAATCTTGACCTGCCAGGGGTTATGAGAAAGATTATGTAGAGTCTGGGTCCTGTCTATGCAATCGAACATCCAGGATGAAGGTCGCATGATTCCCATTGCGTCTGGTTCCAGAGGCCACAAGATGTAGCCGCTAATTCATATGAATGGCGTTCTTGTTATCAATTTCGATCCAGATTGCCTGTATGAGTGTCTGAAGGTGTAGGCACCTCGAAATGACTAGTAAACTGGCACCAAGCCCCCTCCCCGTCTACCTTTATTCTTTTCGACACAATAAGGTCTCAAGTAAATCATGGTTGTACTGCGGCGGAGCATCATTGATGAACACTAATGTCATGATGTCAACAAGGGTGATGCTGGTGACTGTTAACCACTCCAGCTATATTCCCGGCTTCTTATAACTCGAAAACTTGAGTTGGTACCCTCGTTTGAAACCCATTTCGAGTGGCAATTTTCATCAATTTATAGGGGTCTTTTGTTTCTCACTATCCATATGGTAACCGTTTATTGTGTACTATCAGCAATTTCAAGAGGACCAACTAACCTGAAAGGTTTTCCCTGCGCCCTGGAAGTTCCCCCAGGTTAACAAATGCCCACAACAGTGACTTAGGCCAGAAGTGGGGTTCGGATCTTGTTCTCCCGGTGTGTTCCACATATTTCATTGATTTGTGTGAGCCAGGACAGTCGGATTAGAACTTGGGCCTTGTGGTGCAGACTCAAATTACTTGTATAGAAGACTCTTCTTTACCTGCAATCACTCCACTACTTGTCAAATCGGTTGCTTTAAAACGGCTCTCCACACGCTTGCAAGTCCTACGCGCTTTATTCTGTTCACGTTGGGATGCCTGGCGATTTCCATTGTCCCGACCACCAGCTGCTGTGATGTGAATCCTCTGGGAGGATGGAGTGGATAACCGATATCAATCGCATTGTGAACTTTGGTATTTATGAATGCAAAAGACGATATTGAGACTAATATTTTCCCCTAGAAATTGCTCACATGTTTGAATTAAATGTATCCTTCTTCGCGTTGACTCCTGAGGAAAAACCAATCACCAAGTGGCTGTTCCCTTTATTGACCTTCATTGTTTTGTGTGCAGTCAATAGGCCTCACTCCATATCGCACATCTCATATGCACGTTACTACATGTGAATAGAATCTGAATGTACATTCCCTTTTTCTACTCCTCCTAGTTATTATCAGGCTTATTTGCTATCCCCAAAGTATTAGATTAGTTTTATCGTCCTGACAGATTTCTTTATTGTTAACCTGTGCTTCCCTGTGCAACCAAGCCGGCTGTACTCCGAGCTCGTGCCACACAATTTGGACCCACGCTATCGTGATCGTTTACGCGAGCGTTTGGAACGTCGAGAAATGATGCTACGCCGCCGGACATTCGCTATTCCCGAGTTCTATGTGGGTAAGTCATCTTGAGAGGGAAAATGAAGCAGATTTTTTCTTCAAAAAAAGAGAGCGAACTAATCCAACTCAGTGGAAACATCATCACATCATTAGATCCAGTTGAATGAGCGGACTTTGTGCATACTGTGTTTGGCCAAACATGTTTCAGTCGAAGATGGACGTGAGTAAATTTTCGACAGCGTCCCCGGTTGCTGTGTACCTGGTATGTACAAAGTGTCTATCGAGTTTCCATGCCAAATATGATAACCGACGGCTCCAACTAAGGTCATAAAAACCTCGCGCTTCATTTCCAACGTTGGTTGGCAGTGGCCAGACATTGTTCTTGCTGCCACGTATGCTTGTGGCAACCCCACAAAACAATCAGCAAACATCCTACTCAAAAACCGTATCGCTTCTGTGTATGTATTGTTTGCACTGATTGTGTAATCTTGTTTGAGTTGGTAGGCCACTTCGGCCTGGCACCATCGTTGGCATCGTTGTATAAAGTAAGAAACCGTTGCTTGTTGATAAATATTCAATCCAGCCAGGCACTCTTGGGTTACTTTGGCTACCCTGGAGCACAATGATTCTTTGCGTGCGATTTTTCGGGGATGTATGAAAAATCCGCCTCCACAAACGGTTTCGCAAAATAACGGAGGAGCTACAAACGGAGGGTTTTCCAGGCGCAGGAAAAACAGCTGAATTAAGTGTGCGACCTCAGAAAGTCTGCAGCTATTGATTATAGTGTCACATAATTCCGTGTCTTTCTTGGTGGCTATCAGGGTTGTTAAAATACGGTCACATTCGGTGAGACTATCTTTGTTCTGTCCATAACACAGCTTTACCAAGGGTGGTACCTCGGAATCTATCCGCTTGATGAGTTGGATAAGCAGGTTGGGCACATTGGGTAACCGATCCGTTAGCATAAACTTGTAACTTACGGTACCCGGATACGCAGTACGAGACTGAATGTTATCCAATTCTGGATAGTGCGGAGTTTTCAAATGAATCTCCACTTGATCCAGGGTGAACTCACTCGCCCTCTTACTTTCCTGACTTGCTTCCGATAGGTCAGATTTCCTTCTTGGTGTACTGCTCATCAGTCGGAGGACGCACGTGTACAAGTTGGTATACACAGGATTTGAACCACCTCACCTTATTGATTAACTCGTGATGTGCAATCCAGTGGTCCGCCTGACCCCTAAGCGGTATTCAAAGTTTGGTACTTGAGCAACTAACCAGTAAGTCGGAGATCCATGATTGAACGTCACGCGGAATGATGACCCGTAGTGGACAATGGCCCCCTCCTCATAAGCTTTTCAAAACGGATCATCTCTAGTGGGGGCCATCTCACTAAGCTTTAACTTGAACCTAGTGCCCTCTGAAAGATCAACTCCCGGAAAGGACACTAGATGAGTTTTATGGAATGGACAACAAAGACAAGAATGCAAAATTCATGTACCGGTTCTCATATTTTGGCACTAACCAGAAACTTTACTATCCGATTTAGTACTAGGTTATATTTGAGGTATTTATAGACTACAAAGCAGTATTGCTTTAGAACACTCAGTGTTTACAGTTTTCCTCCTGTATAAATGGCCCTTTTGGCTGGTTCTTGAAACTTACAGTGGCTGAATCGCCCTCAGAGGAAGCAGTGCCTTGAAAGGAACCACGGTATTTTTGGTGTCAGAGGATTTTCACGCCTATGAGCGCCAAGGATGAGTGTTGTAGTATTTGTAATAATTGGACAGACCGCTGACCATTACGTCATCCCGGATGGTACATACCACACATCATACATCAGACGTTAACAGGGTTTCGTTCTAACTCCAAAAATCCGTTGGAATTTGAGATTTCGAAGAGAGTACTTCCATCAAACCACTTTATGACGTCTTAGTCTTTTTGTTCTCCAGGTGGTCTATTCTTTTGATTTATCAGACTTCATAACGCAAGAAGTTGAACAATCCTCCCCAGAAATGTTGAAGTGAGGCCACTTTCTCTGATAGCCTACAACAATGCTCACCACCATACATGGTTTGTGTGGCTGTGACTCTGTGAAGAGATCACCCATCAGAAGTGGCTTGTTTCGGGTACACTCTTAAAGCTTCTTTGAAGCATTACCAGAAGTTACCAACTATGTTCCGCTCATTCACCCGGTATTTCTTGATAAGGCAACAACATAGACTGGATGGATTGGCGTTAGTCGGCAGAAAATCAGTTACTAATCATACAAGCTCGCTGAGAACCATTCTACAGCTCACTACCGGTTTCGCCCTTTGTGAGGTACAGACAGACATGCTCTTCGAGTTTCAATCAATTTTTTCCCTCTTGAACACCGAATTTGACGTAGGTGGAATCATACACCCGTTTGCAAATTCACTTGGTGTTAATGGGAGACTAAACTGAATATTGGTTGAATATCTAGTTTACGCTAATAAACTTCCAACTAAAATGTAAGGTGGTCTTTATGCAGCACGCACATTCGTACTTTATCATAAACACGGATTACAGCTTATATTTAGATGAATTTCTCATTGATACCAAGTGAATATAGAACACAAATGCTTGTTTTATGACTGGTGTCCATAGTGCTGGAAGGTACCATTCATCGCTAACATTGCTGCTAAACCCATCGGACCTGTTCCCTCATTTGCACACTCTGTAAGCGGTCCTCCGTACATCATTTTCAGACTTACTTACAATGATATCGATGTGTGTACCTTTTGCTGAAAAGTTCCAAAGGGGGTGAAACGTTGTGATAACAACTATATAGACAAGGGCGGGCCGTGATAGAAGTGTGGAGCCTCCGTGACCGTTTGTGGAAATTGAACGTTGAGTTAAAGAAACAGCTGTTAGTCAGGCGCCTATTTGCGTTTCCTTTTGAGGTGATCTGTGGAGCGACGGTGATTCCCCTTCTGTTGTGTTACAAATCACAGAGATGATCTTTATAGTGGTTCGGCGTGCTTTGATGGTCCTATAAAAGATGGCGCAGTTTTGAAGTTTTGTCTTTATTATCAGGAATTTAAGTAGGTGGTTCCCCCTTAAGAGAGCCCATCTGCCACTGAAATCGCTCTCTTTGGCAAATTCCACTGTTCCCTAGAAAAGGTGACGAATAAAAGTATACACGAAAATGGTTTGCCTGTATAATGTCTGCTGAAATCACTCCTCTGAAAATGGTTTACAAGTGAAAGCCAAGAACAACATTGTAGCATACATAAGATATGCCATAATTAGGAACTCCAAGGACTTGCACGTGTGGCTACCGAACTTCACTCAACCTGTGAGGCCCCGTTGATGGAGTTATACTTCGACCTACCAAAGGCGCAAAAATCCTCGGTTTAAGGGGACTTGGTGCAGGCTATTTTGACCGAACTGATTGGGTTGCACTTGTCATACTCCTAGGCACACCATCAGTCTCATGGAGCCAGAATGAGCCGAATGGTCCGGAATGAAGTCTAAAAATTTGTTTGCGGACCAAAACGAACACCTGCTTGTGATAAATCGTTTAGGCGGGGTTTTGTACTCTATAGCCACTTTCGTGCTTATATTCACCGAACATATTGATGAAATGTATATCCTGTTTAATTTTTGTAGCTGATAGAAGATTGGTATATCGTACAAGCAGACAAACTTTGTAGGATCACTCCACCGAAGCGTCATACGTGATCCCGCTCGGTTTAAAGGAAGTAACGGTTTGTTTTCTGCACCTTGTTTCAGGTTCCATTTTAGCCGTATCGATCGCGGACAAGTTTGCTCCAGACGGCATTCACCGGTTTGTCGGTATATGCATCGAGCGGCTAAACGAAGGGCTGTGGACCACATTCACCGTGCGAAATGTGATAGAAAAATCCGGTGAGTTTTCCTCGGTTTGTTTTTCCAGACGGGTTTGTTTTTATCTGTTTTGTCTTTTTTTAGATGTTGCACGGCCCAGCTGTTTCAAACTAGAGCAGTGTGTCCAGTTTGCTTTACAAGTTCGAAACGCGCGCCTGTCAGCGATTTTGGAGATGCGCGAGCCACATGAAGCGACGGCTAGTTTATCACAGAATAGTCAAGCTGAATAAAATGTCCCTGAACAGTCTTTGTGAAAATGATCACACTCACCAATGGATTTTATGAGTTCTGAATTACATTCAAATGGGGAGTGCCAATGGCATTGTCCTCCTCCGCCATCATCAGCAAAAGCTGTAAAAAAAAACGCATACACGTTGTATAGTGGTCGTGGCTACTAGGGTTTCGTTTACCGATGACCTTGAAGACAGGAGTGGATAGCTACGCATTAGAGACAGGAGCAGATATAATTGACGCATGAATCCAGGAATGACTGTGAACCTTTCACTGCAGACAAGAGCCTGGATACATGCGCGCCAATGTAGGCGCCACTGCACCATGTTTGTTATTGTCTTTAATTATTGATGTAGACCGTCTCGGTCCAACTATTCAGGGGGGGGGATAGCAATGACCAGCGCAGCTGCTTTTGCTGGTAATATATTTCGTACTTTGCTGCCAAATCATTTATGGACTCCCCCTGGCTCATTTCTATCGTTCTCATGGTTGTGCGAAAAAAAGCTCTCGGAAAAGTCGGTCGGCTTGTATACGGATCATTTGGCCAAGCCAGTGCAACTTATAAGATGTGGTTAGTTCATCCATCGTGGGCGAGTTATTTCATCCGAAACCATTCCTAATATGGTATAAAAATGCGCGCATAACAACTGCAATGAAAAAAATTACCCATTGGATCGATCGGCGAGATGACCCAAGTTTTTAGAGCTTGAATTTACTGACTGGAAGGTCCGTTGTTTGAACCCCACCTGTGCCTCTTGACTTTCCCTGCCTAGGCTTGGGCAACCTGGCATGGCAGCTAGGAACCGAAAAAGTGCTACAGCTGAACGAACATTGGATCGATGAGTCCGTTCACATTCAGTATAGCACGACAACGGTAGTCGAACGGTTGCTCTAAATCTTGTCCTGATTCTATTACTGTACTTTTGACAGCATAACATACGTGGGGTTTCAGGTTAGTTCAGTGATGAAGCTCGAAAACATTTGACACTTGATTTTTTCATAACTCCTGAACACTTTCATGTGTTTCTCTTCAACCACATGACTTGTCATTCATCACTAGTTGAGATAGTTTCTCTCAAGTGAACTAACAGAGGTTGTGCGATCCTCTCTCTTTGTCTGGAATCGCACAAACTACAATGAGACTGGGTTTTGTTAATTTACCCCCTCTATTTTTATTTCCTAGCTGTTGAAATCAAGTATGAACTCTATAACCCCACGCTGCAGTCATTGGAAGTGCTCCTACTAGAAAAGCGGTTAGATCAGAACTTACTTTACCTTCGGGATGCTCCCTTACAAGAAAGTCGGGTTCCGTTTGACATGGCGCCAGTTCCACATCCATCAAACACCCCGGTCCCGGTCAATCCGAAGAAAGTAGGTTTCTGCGTTTCCACTTTTTGTGGCACTCACAGATTTCCTTGTTTGGCATCGTGTGGATATCTTTTAATATCAAACTTGTCTCCCAATCAAGTCATTACCATCTCTTCTGATTGCCGGAATGTATAATGAAGTTGTAAGCCATATTTGTCTGACTAAAATTCTTCGGACGGATGTCAGCAAGGTGTCGAAATGGATTTCGCTTTCGACAGCTGTCATTTAGGCTGATAAAGACATGTGTTTTCTTCACATGGCACGTTTTATTTCAGATTGATCTTTGAGTGATAGAGCGACTATTTCCGAGCAGAACATCCATGTGTAAACGTAATTCGCATCCTTTTCATAAAGGAAACTACTCACAAGGTTGCTGAAAACTTCGATAGCGCACGACCGGTTTCGCCCTTTTTGGGGCTCATCAGGTAGGCGCAGTCGCCGAGTTTCCGTCAACCTTATAATCTACTTGAACCTGAATTGGACTGTTTTCGAGGAAACCAAATTGATTTGCAAATTAGCGTATTTCTCGAAAACAGTCCAGTTTGGGTTCAAGTAGAACCTAAGGTTGACGGAAACTCGGGGACTGCGCCTACCTGATGAGCCCCTAGAAGGGCAAAACCGGTCGTGGGCTGTCAAAGAGTTTTCAGCAACCATGTGAGTAGTTTCCTTTATGAAAATATACTGCGATATCTCGAATATCGTGCCAACTGAATCATGAGGCGGTCTGTGTGCAGCACATTCAGTTGTAGAATGTCATTAACGCGAGATTCAGTTGAGTCTCTCGTGAAAACCAAAATAATTCGCATCCTGTTGTAGGATCAGATATTCCTCAGCGCTTTCGCTATCACGACAAAATTGCTGACCTATTAATGAATAGTTCTTCCTGTAATTGAAACTAGTCTTTGCTGTACAGCTGTTTCCTCCTTATTAGAAATCATCAGAAGGGCGCGGCGCATCCCACGAGCGGCCAAACCACTAGCTGAAAATTTGGAGTTTTGTGAGGTGGGTAGCGCACTGTTGATCATTCTCAATAAGGAAGATACAGCTGTACAGTGCTTCTTCGCTTTTCAGCTTAGATTTGCTTCACTTACAGGACGGAATCTCCGTTGAAATCGCCGATTCCCACACTAGTAATGGTGGTCCTTTAGTGCTAGTGTATTTCTCTACATCTACAGGCAATTTCACTATTCATCAAGGACGGGCTCCAGAAGCACTTTACATGTCCCATGGATGCATCATCATCATCATCATCATCGACAGCATGACATCAGTGTTCAACACCGATTCTTCACTGCCGTACAACCATGATTTATTTGAAAGCCTTATTGTAAAGAAAAGAGTAAAGGTGGACGGGGAGGGGATTTAGTGCTAGCTTGCCACAATCATTCCGAGGTGCCTATACCTCCAGATACTCACTCAGGTAATCTGGATAGAAACTGACAACAAGAACGCCACTGACATCGGTTTGCAGCCATGTCTTGTAGTGTCTCCAACCAGGCACAGTGAGGATCACGCGGTCCCCATCCTGGAAGGCGAGTAGCACCGACAGCACCCAAACGTTCCGTGATCTGCTTCATACTCCGCTGCCAAGTCAAGGGTCGGCCATTTGTTTGTTTACGCCACTCCGAATTGAGCAAAGAAAACAGCACTCTCTTCGGCATACGCAACACGTCCCAACCAACCCGGCTTCTGGTGCTGGACACATTCTTCAATGGAAGTACCCGTTACACAACCGAAGACGCGTAACTGCCTCGTTACGGATTCGCCGACACCAACCCACACGAGCTATGGTTCTGAGACAACGATTATCGAAGACGCTGCTCGAATAGGCCAAGTCTCATGAATGACTGTCACTTCCGTCTTTAGGCGATGTTCACACTGGTAATTCGACAGTTGGTATCATCTTTCTCGTAGCTGCTTTGTTTGTGGTGGAGTATTTCCTGTAAAACTTTTTTTCACCGCTTTCAGGTCAAACTACTCCCACCACCGTGGAAATTTCAATGGTTTTTACACGGTTACCGTGGGATTGACCCGAGTGCACTGGACTATCTGACACCTAAACAACTGGCTCAAGTGACCGACAAATTGACTTTGGTAGATCGCTACGATTTAATGAAAATGTACCGGTGAGTGTTGGTCAATTTGTTTAAATTTGCTTATAATCGTATTGCGATCGGTTCAGTCAGTATTCACTTTTATCATTGCTTGTAAGTCCCTAGATCCACCTCACTTCTACTGTCCGGCTGTTGCGCACAACTTTACAGTACCAAGGGGTGTTGCATGTCAATTAATCGACGGTCTCTAGAGCGATTCGGAAATCCTGCGGAAGTTTGTTTCCAGCAAAGGATGCTGGGCTTGGGAGGGCTGACAACCGAGTTTTAAAATGTCCGGTTATTTGAGGCTTAAAATCCAAAGTGAATTCACCTTGATGTTCTGGTGTCAACGCACCTCTGTTACACGAGCGGTCGGTATTCCCTAACTGCTTGCGAAACAGCTCTTCCACGGTCGGGTCCGGTGGAATTTCTAATCACTTTAAATAAGTCAACTACTTACATCACAACCGGATACGCAGTTACCTCTGAAAACCATTGTTTTAACACTACCTCGATGACTTTCCGTTTACGCTTCTATTAGTGAATATATTGTCTCCGATAAGCAGTAAGCTAATGCGAGTTCAAAATTTGATATCTCAGAATCCGTTTTCAACAGGTAGAGTGTTTTATTCTGTGCTTGTTCGGAGGATGGGGTGAGATAGGATCGACTGGACCAAATAGTACTCAGTATTAAAGTATGGACCCAAGCACCGTTCCGTAGAATAGAAGATTCCGTACTGGGAAAGTGATGTCTTAACGGAAAATGAGATGGCTGGAGTAAATTTTCCTATATCGAAGCAACTTATTCCGAAAGATTCCATGTTGTGTAGATACGCCTGGAACCGTTCAGGCTGATCAATTTTCGTTTCGTGTGCGCTCTGCTGACTGTTGAGGATATTCCGAATTTTCACGCGAATCGGCAGGCGTTAAGAGGACGTTTCGCTCACGCCGGACGTTAGAACTGTTTTTTTTGTGGCCCGACCTTCAAATGAGAGTTGTGTCACCATGTTCTATTATTCCGAAAGATTCCATGTTGTGTAGATACGCCTGGAACCGTTCAGGCTGATCAATTTTCGTTTCGTGTGCGCTCTGCTGACTGTTGAGGATATTCCGAATTTTCACGCGAATCGGCAGGCGTTAAGAGGACGTTTCGCTCACGCCGGACGTTAGAACTGTTTTTTTTTGTGGCCCGACCTTCAAATGAGAATTGTGTCAGCCATGTTCTAGCAGCTGCTAATCATTCTATATGTTTTATTCCTGTTCTTATGTTAGCCAACCCTACGACAGATTTTCCGAGGGCGATTTCGCACACTACTTTTGTCCGTAGACATCATCCTCGTCATCTGCGTTGACCTCCTTGCTTTTGAGATCCCATGCTGCGGGAATGGGACAGTCAAGACATCCTCATTGGATTCACTTGGCTGGGCCTATCTTTATTTTCTGCAATAAATATAAGCCGCTCGACCTCCTAGTTTTTCAATCAATAAGGTGATGATGATTATGGCCTTTTCATATACCCCGGTAGTCATGAGGACCATTTGAGCAAGCCAATTTTGTTAGTGCGGTATTTCACCATAGCAGTGTTCACCACAAGCTACTCCACAGCATACAGGGCATCAGCATGCGATGGCCTTACGTTTATATTCACGCATAACATACCCTACTTCGTGCAGTGCCTTCACAGACACATCACGATCATCTACATACCAGCAGACTTCTGGTCGTCATCAGCTTCCTCATCCTCTGCTAACAGACTAATGAATTGACGTGAACTGTGGATCAGACACAGGGGAAAACAAAAAGTAGAAGGTCACGAAATTTCCAAATACTATCGCAATTACAAAAGAACCCCTTTGGTTCCTGCCAGAGCTACAAAACCTAATCGTTCTAGTGTCAAGTAACCATACTCGGGCTGCTTGTTTATAACGGCCGCTTTTTGTCCGTATCTGATTTGAATTCAACCTGTGACACTTACTCGCTTTTATGGCCTTCATGAAAAACAGTTTGATATATTTATTGCGAAGTGCTCATCCGCAGCTTAAGACAGTTCTTACAGAAAATCGGACTTGTTGCATAAAGATGCATCATGTTGAAGTTAGAACAGTGTATTTTCATTGTTACGATACTACTTACAAGTGGTGAGTAGTATCCGCACTAATATTCTGCCATGGACACTCATGTGTTACCCGCGGTAATACTGAACAATAACCCGGTAATACTTGATATGTACGCAAGCTATATCCGCCATGTTCCACTTTTGTTTTTGTTGCAACGAAAGATCCTAGGCTGTAGGTTGATGTTCTATCACAGGAGTGTTCTCCTACTTATATGCCTATCAGTTCACCGGCTATCTGTTTCTTGATTCTCGTCTTTTCCAATAGGTCACGCCCATGCTTAGAAGACAAACAAGAAGCACTGGGTGATGCATACCTTCACCATCAAGATCTCATTCGCTATCATGAGCAGCGTCGACGCGAATTGCTTGAACGTTACCAATCGCAAAGGTTGGGTGACAATATTCTAACCCGCAGTACTGGTTGACTTTTGTGACGAATCGGTCGACGCGTGTCACTTGTACATAACTTGCTTGTCCTACTCAATGGAATACACACTTTCCTAGCTTTTCGAGTCTATTTTGAAGAGAAGGATGTTTCAATACTGTAATTCAAAGTGTTTGATACTTTTATCGTAATCAACCCCTCAGTCTTTAAGTAACCGACTAGGCAAAAATTTGGTGGTTTTTGTAAGCCATGCGTGACACGGAACCGAGGGCAGCATCACGGCACACGCTCAATAGCAAAGTAACTCAGTGTCTAAAACAGTCACAGAGTTACCTAGAGATCCCATCTATTCAAGGTCTTAGAACGTTCGTTTGGCCAGTTTCCATATTTATCAGTGCCATCTAGCTTTTCCTCCTACACAATGTTTTCTGCCTTTACAACCCTGACATATTAATTTGATCCCATATCTTGGCGAACCAGTTGCGTTGATTCTCCGTTCGGTGACAACAACGGTGAGAGCAATAGACGACTGTACAAAGTTGTCATTGGAAAGCCAATTGACAAACACCTTGGAAGTGGCCTTAGGTACCAATTAATTTTTGGATCACGTGTCTTACTTTCACTGTGGGTGTTGAAGAAGGCTACACAGCTTGACCGAGATAAATAATAAGTGTAATAAATTGCCAGAGTGATACTAATGCATTTCACTTCCCCTATTTTGTCCCTTTGTGCACGAGCCTCTCAGTCCTCGCGTCTCTCTTGTTTTGGCTTTCTGAATCGAATCTGGTATATACTTCTCCTATTCTCGTTGCGATCCTTAATGCATGTTTCTGAATTTGTTTGTCGGTATCCGACGGCTATCATATGTCGAAACCTCTTCAAAATCAGGTAACCGCGTGCGATCTGCTGATGATATTTTCCATTAGGCCCAAGCTACTTATAAGTAGTATGAAAGTGATCGCATTCGAGATGAGGGTTCGTCTGGCTTGCTTCATTGAGATGCTCACAGTGCCAAAAGTGTCCTTCTTCACACTTCCTCCATTGTCGCAATTGTCCGCATTTGCATTCGCCTAATAGCCCATTGCGATGGGTCCTGCCCGCCTGATAACCAACCACCTTTTGTTGCTTGTTGTCTCATTCAGTTCAGACTGAAGATCATGGTCGAGACTCTCACTTGCAAACTTCAAATTACTTGATGCCTAAGCAAAGAAAATAAAGTCAGTGCAAAGACAAAAAAATACCTAATTTGGAGAAATCGTCTTCCATGACTCGCTGTACTAGTCTACCAACAGAAAAGAATGAACCATCTACTAGCTACTGCAGCGTAGTCGATTTATCGGATAGACCCTTAAGTGACGAAGAACGGTGTCTGTTTGAGAAGGGATTGAATTTCTCAGCGAGTAAAGATCATTCCTAGTGTCGAGTTCGTGTTCCAGAAGCTTCCTTCAATCGAATTGGAGAAATTACGTCTACAGTTGGTCACAGTTCTAAAGTCCAAGGAGTTCCAAACATTACATCAGCAGACCGAAGAGCCTTAAACACATTGGAGCGTGTAGACAGTGTAGTAATTGCAAAGGCAGACAAAGGTAAGGCCACGGCCATCATGAATAAGAGTGACTCTCTGGACGTAACTGATGGGCCTTACTCACAAATTATTAACTGGACGATTAGGTCAGTAATGAATAAGAGTAAGGTTGGGGTTGGGAGGTATCTTAGATTGGTGATAAACCATCTGGAGCAAGGCAATTGGTATCGATTGTACCCAAAAATCCAAGCATGATCTTATGGGTTACCAAAAATTCACAATGAGGGTGTCCCATAAGACCGACAGTAGATGGTATAGTTTCATCAGCACATGGGCTGGCCGGATTTCTGGTAGGTATCCGTAAACCAGTTGCCCAGTTCCAAAATTCATATTGGTTTGCTAAAAAATTAGCTGGGTTTCAGTTAGAGCTAGACGAAGTTCTTGTTAGCTTTGATGTCAACTCGATGTATACCAATGTCCGTGAAGCGGACTCTGTGGAAGTAGCGAGAAGGCTGGCAGACAGCGCTGAAAGAATGAACGCAACTCTCCGTAGACAAGATGGTTGATAAAAAAAGTATGCCTAGACCTCAGTCATTTTGTCTGTGACTCAATTGTATACCCTCAAGAACAATATCTAGCGATGGGATCCCCAATACCCTCGAATTCGGCAACATGTAGATGGAGGACTTTGAACAGAAAGCTGTAGGTGGATTCCACTGTCCGCCGAGTGTTTTCTGGCGTTACGCATATGACACGTTCGCTGTGACATCTGAACACTTTAGACTCACACATTAAGTTTGGTTACCCATACGGCGTGATTCCCATGGGCACTTTACAGGCATATTATTCGCCTACCCAAGACCAACTGGTAGACAATACAGTATCCGAGGGATCAGGGAAAGTAGGGCGTTCTTGGTGAATCTCTGTGCACTTAACTTATCATTCCTTTCAAACGCGGCTGTAAATCGGGATAAAAAACTCCCCTGAGAGACTACGTATTAGGAAGAATGATCTGGCCTTCCGAGAGGTGTGACCTCTCTTCCAGCAGGCAACTCATCTGATCCACGGATACACCAATTCGATGTATACCAACGTCCCTAAAGCGGACGCTGTGGAAGTAGCGAGAAGACTTTTACTGGCAGACACAACGCTGCAAGAACGAACGCAACTCTCCGTAGACGAGATAGTTGAAGGCATAAAGGTATGCCTAAACCTCAGTCAATTTGTTTTTGACTCAATTATATACTCTCAAGAACAAGGTTTAGCGATGGGATCACCAATATCCCCGATTTTGGCCAACATGTACATGGAAGACTTCGAACAGAAAGCTTTAAACGGATTCGAGTGTCCACCAAGGGTGTTCTGGCGTTACGTAGATGACACGTGCGTTGTAATAAAGCGGGATAAGGTGAACGAATTCTTTCAACATCTGAACACGTTGGACCCTCACAATAAGTTTAGCATGGTGCTAGAGTCCACGTCGGGTACACTAGCTTTCCTTGACTGCATGACACACAAGAATGGTGGGAAATTAAAAACCACTGTATACCGGAAATCAACAGATAGTGGTGCGGTCTTAGACTACTCCTCTGCACATCCAAAAGCAGTATATGCTAGCATAGCCTCAGCGATGTTTAGGAGAGTGAGAGCACTGTGTACAGAGGAGGTCGACCGAAGAGCAGCACAACTTGAGGTAAAAAAGCGACTTCAAGATAGCGGATACCCAGTGGGTTTAATTAAGCGGCAACTAAGACGGGTATTGGTGCCAACACCAAGGCCCAACGAGGAGTGGATCGGAACAGCGGTCATTCCATACAAAACAGGGACATCTGAAGTCATTAGAAGGGTACTGAATACGGCTAACATTAAAGTAGCTTTCCAGAAGAGGAAAACTTTACGCTCGATGTTGGTGCATTTGAAGGATCGCCTTCCGGTTGATAGGACTAGGAACTGTGTATACAAAATAAAATGTAACGACTGTACGAAGGTTTATATAGGTCAGACAGCGAGGGAATTGCACACCAGAATCGGTGAGCATAAGCATTCCATTAACAAACCACCGAGAAACGCAGATGAACACCAGGCGTTAGTCAAAGATTCAGCAATAGCAGGGCATGCTCTAGACACTGGGCATAGGATAGATTTAGAAAATGTGGACATCCTGAGACAAGGTTTAAGATTCACACCACAGCGACTGGTGGCCGAGCCGGTGGAAATCGCCAAGCATCCCAGTGTGAATGGAATTGAGGGGATAGAACTTGCAAACGTGTAGAGAGCAGTCTTAGATCAGCCGAGATGACACGAGGCGGTAGTTAGTTATCAGCAAAGTGATCTGGGTCTAAAAGTACAAAATTCAAGAAGAATGAGATTCACCCCAACCCAAATCTAATTGTCCCGGCGGTTGCCTTTTTTTGGAAACACGCACAAATGAGGTCGCACAAACTACCTTTAGCCTATGACCAGCTTCACAGCCAGGCAGATCATACAGTTACCACATAAACTGTGCGTCAGCTCAAGTGAAACTCTTCTGATGTCACAAAAGTGCAAGATTACAGAGGTTCCCATGCCTTGATTATGCACATACTGACAATATTTTTAGAAACATCAAGGGCGTTGCTTACTGGCAAACCATATTTAGAAGAACTGACTTGTCTACTGACCCAAAAGTCCCTTTGTAGGAAAAATGGTGAGTGTTGGTAGGCGGTAGGCATGACGCAGCTTAAGAAATAGACGTGATCAATGCACACCCTACCTGAAAAAATCCAGCTTGTTCCTCCCAGATCTGCATTTCACATGCGACCCTTAAACGTCAAATTATTACTGAAGCTAGGGACAGCCTTATGACAGGTGCTAATTTTTACTGTCAGAGCAGCGGTTTCGTTTGACTTTTATGGCAAGATGTATGATGAAAGCTTTCTTGTTCCCAAATAAGTTCGAACTCCTCAGTAAAAGTGGAACACTCTTGTAATATGTGACTCAGAAACTTTTGGGCTAATAAAACGGACGTGTGTTTCCCAAGTTTATCCGGAAAATTCAGTGAAAATCTACGTCGGACGGAGCACGATCTCATTGAACATATGTATTCCAGAATGGTCGATTGAACCTCGCCACCGGTGGCTAGTGGCCACATAATCGATTTGGTTCCACAGTGTTCAGTGGAAGGAGAATGGTAAGTAGCCCACCGGCGTCCACCGTGTCTAAACCAAATGCTGCTAACGAACAATGGATGTTCAGTGTGGAGTTATAACAGACGTTCACATCCTGGGTTCAAAATAAACTTGCCATCGAATTGCGCCTCAGAAAGCCTGAGACGGTCTAATTGCGCTTTGAAGTCTCCAGCGATCAGGATTATATATCAACTCATCGTGGAGGATAAAAAAATGCGGCTAATATTTTGACTAGTGCGAGTCCTTCGGGAAGGGACTCCATGGTGCCTTTACCCTGTCGTTCGTCGAACAGGATGACACGGGTAAGTTTAACGGGTTTGTCCAAACAAATTGTCACTGACTGACACTGTTATTTCGAAAATCACCCAGACTAACGCTTATACTCACGGCACAAAAGTGTCTGTCGTAGAAGTCGAAGAAATGGATCACAATTCA